ATATAGGTATTTTGGTCACAAAATCATGGGGGGAGATACATACAGATGACTTTAAAATGACTTTAAAGTAAAATTCCACAGCACTGTTTACTGCTTCTCTTCCTAATTCTATCAAACAGATTTAGTTTTACACATTTCTTTTTATCTTTATTGCCATGATAGAAAAAAAGCAGAGTCAGTTAGGAGATTGAGCAGAGACCAGCAGCAAAGTCCAACATGCAAGGTCTGCACAGGTTAATAAAGAATAAAAGTAGCTGTAGAAATAAACAACAACACAGCCATTGGTTTTTAGTGTAAAGTTAAATTCCACTTAAATTTTTACTCTTCTTGATGCTATTTTAAAAATGTTGCTCTCCACATTTTATTTTATGCTTATTGCAATAACAGAGCAGAGTCAGCAGCAGGGAGAATGATATAGGGTCTTTCAGGTAACGAGAAATTATAACTTCCTGAGAATAACTATTGTAGGGAGAAACCAAGTACATTTTAGCGAAAAGATATACACAGATATTTTACAGGAACGGTGAAACTGAATGTTAGAGACTGATAAATTACTCTCAAAATTTTGCCCCCTCACTTCTACGATGGTGGTTACGCCCTCTGGAATATGGTGTTGATTTAGTCAATTATGTTATTTTTGTTGAGAATGTTATTTTTATTTATCTAAATGTTGTTAAATCAAATTATTAGACTTGTCTTGAAAATGAAAATAAATATAATGTGTACAAAATTAAAAAATAAAATGTTTATATCAATTTAATGTAAAAATAAAAAACAAAAAAAGAGTTAAACTTGGATTTCAACAGTGACAGAGAATCAGTTATATGTTCATTAGATTTACAGCTGGATGTTAACTAAGTAACTGAGACCATCAGTGAAATGATTGGCCATTTTAATTTCTGTCATTTTCTACACTAAATGCTAGTCACACCAGGTCAGATACAGTTTTCATTTTGTAGGTCTAGTCATAAATCAGATTAAGTTGGATAATAGTAATAGTAATAGTGATTTGCCCATTTTCAAATATTTTTGTCATACTTAAATAGAATAAATTCTGTTAACACTTAAAAATGTTTTTTTTTCTTGTATTTCCTAGAGATTACTCCTCTTTATTTCTGATTCTGTGATTGTAATGTGTTTGTTGATAGCTTCTGTCCGCTGCTGCTTTGTGTTTTTTGTTCTTGTTTTATGGTTACAAATAAAGAGTCGAAAAAAAAATAAACACATTTTAGTTGTTTTGTCAGATGCTATTCATCACTGGCTGATAGTAAGATGCATTTGCAACTGTGTCAGTAATCAGTTTGCTCTAACTGTACTGTAAGCCTTCAGATTTTGCTTGAGTAATTCAAATGACTTTAATGGATTGTGGCTGAGGTCACTAACCCATTTTACACACTTCTAGTCTCCAGTTGTACCTTCTCTAACACTGTGAGATGTTTTGACAAGCTCACCCTGCCAACTGAATGCAACTACTGCAGAATTTTTGTAACTGGCAATAAAGGGTTAAATCAGTGGTTCTCAACCCTGGTCAAGGACCCGCTGCCTTGCATGTTTTAGATATGTCTGTTCCAGCACACCTGATTCAAGTCATAGCTCCTCCTCTGCAATGAAATGCTGCAGAAGCTTGTTAATCATCCATTCTTTTCTGCTATGGTGCAACAAGGAAACAAGTAAAACATGCAGGGCAGGGGTCCTTGAGAAACTGGGTTTGGGGACCACTGGGTTAAATCAAGTATAGAAATATAATTAGGTGCAACACTTGTCCGACATAAATGTCTAAAGAGCTGAATGCCATGGTAACAGGATTGAACCATTTGATTCAGGAATGTTGGATTCAGTATTGCATTCAGTGAAAAAAATGTGGGGGGTTGTACCTTTAAGGACTCTGTAAGACTCATTACTGTACCAATACTGCTAATTTGGATTTTCACACTAATTTACTGTCATGATCCTGGCACTGATGACTGGCTTAATTAGTCATTCCATTCAGCTATCTAACTCTGTCTGGTTTCTCATCACTGCTCATCTGATCCACCTGCTCTTGCCTCTATATACACTATATTGCCAAAAGTATTTGCTCACCCATCCAAATTATTGGAATCAGGTGTTCCAATCACTTCCATGGCCACAGGTGTATAAATTCAAGCACCTAGGCATGCAGACTGTTTTTACAAACATTTGTGAAAGAATGGGTCGCTCTCAGGAGCTCAGTGAATTCCAGCGTGGAACTGTGATAGGATGCCACCTGTGCAACAAATCCAGTCGTGAAATTTCCTCGCTCCTAAATATTCCACAGTCAACTGTCAGCTGTATTATAAGAAAATGGAAGTGTTTGGGAACGACAGCAACTCAGCCACGAAGTGGTAGGCCACGTAAACTGACGGAGCGGGGTCAGCGGATGCTGACGCGCATAGTGCGAAGAGGTCGCCAACTTTCTGCAGAGTCAATCACTACAGACCTCCAAACTTCATGTGGCCTTCAGATTAGCTCAAGAACAGTGCGCAGAGAGCTTCATGGAATGGGTTTCCATGGTCGAGCAGCTGCATCCAAGCCATACATCACCAAGTGCAATGCAAAGCGTCGGATGCGGTGGTGTAAAGCACGCCGCCACTGGACTCTAGAGCAGTGGAGACGCGTTCTCTGGAGTGACGAATCGCGCTTCTCCATCTGGCAATCTGATGGACGGGTCTGGGTTTGGCGGTTGCCAGGAGAACGGTACTTGTCTGACTGCATTGTGCCAAGTGTAAAGTTTGGTGGAGGGGGGATTATGGTGTGGGGTTGTTTTTCAGGAGCTGGGCTTGGCCCCTTAGTTCCAGTGAAAGGAACTCTGAATGCTTCAGCATACCAAGACATTTTGGACAATTCCATGCTCCCAACTTTGTGGGAACAGTTTGGAGCTGGCCCCTTCCTCTTCCAACATGACTGTGCACCAGTGCACAAAGCAAGGTCCATAAAGACATGGATGACAGAGTCTGGTGTGGATGAACTTGACTGGCCTGCACAGAGTCCTGACCTCAACCCGATAGAACACCTTTGGGATGAATTAGAGCGGAGACTGAGAGCCAGGCCTTCTCGTCCAACATCAGTGTGCGACCTCACAAATGCGCTTCTGGAAGAATGGTCAAAAATTCCCATAAACACACTCCTAAACCTTGTGGACAGCCTTCCCAGAAGAGTTGAAGCTGTTCTAGCTGCAAAGGGTGGACCGACGTCATATTGAACCCTATGGATTAGGAACGGGATGTCACTTAAGCTCATATGTGAGTCAAGGCAGGTGAGCAAATACTTTTGGCAATATAGTGTAAGATGCTTGCATCCAGTCATCAGGGCCAGATTATTCTTGTTCTCCCTAGCCAGTGGTGAGAGTGTTTTTAAAGTTCCTTGGTGTTTCTGATTTGCTGATACTGACCTTTTTTGCCTCTCAATCACTGACCCTCCCTGTTCCCATCTGATCTTAGTGGTGAGAGCATTTTTAGCATAACCTTAGTGTTTCTGATTACCTGATCCTGACCTGCTCTGCCTCTCAATCACTGAGCCTGCCTGTTCCTGTTCTGATCCATTTGTCTGACCTGTCTTCGGACACCGGTTTGCTCTCCAGGACTGCAGCATCTGGGACACGCTGGGCGGTGCAAGTTGTATCTTGTTGGCAGCCCACTGGCTTCATCCTACCTTGTTCTCTGGACTGAACTTGCTAACTTGTTAGTGACTCACTAACAATAATCTTCCTCCGTTAGATTTACATGGTCACTAACCTGTGTTTCGTCTCTTTAGAGTTTCCTACCTCAGACGTTCTAGCCGCTTTTTCTGAAGACCCATTTGTTTTTAGTAAATGCTTTTTTAATAATCCCACTGTCTGTCTGGCTGTGAATACTGGGTCCTCTCTTTTGAGTCGTGACAATTACAGAGATCAGGTAAGGTTGGTGTACCATAGTGATGTGTTAATTAGGCATTATTAACACTGTTTAACGTGACAGTCATTAGCAACAGCTCCCATATCAACGTGATCAAAAACATGGGTTTTTGATCTATGAACTTGAGAAGTGCCAATGCATAGGTGTTGTTGGACCAATCACTAGTGAGCCCTCTGTCTATCGGTGCGTCTATCTGAGATCTTATGCACAGAAGCTCACACCTTTAGGAGCTGTTCATAATTTTTTGAAGGTGTGCTAGTTTCCCTGGTTTAATGACTCAATGACTTAATATCTGGAATACAAATAAAAAGATTAGCTGTTCTTGTTTGATTTGCTATTAACATATATCAGTATTCACCATGGCCCCTTTGTCCTATCTGAAGTTTTTTATTCATCTTTTTTTTAGAATAACGAATACAAAAAGCGTATTGTAGTTCAATCAGATTATTCTGTGTCAACTTATATAGATAAAAGAAATAAAAATGTCTCACTGTGGCAAACACTCCATTGGGTTATCTTTAAAAGTGAGATAAAAACTGAACCCTTATCTTAAAAATCCTTCAAGTCTAACTTAAAATTTTTACCCCGTTGTAGTTTTGAAAGCAGTGATGCAGGCACGACTTAAGACTCACTACACAGGATATGTGGGCCTGCGGATTAGCAACAGATCAATCTACATAAACCCCCCTGGAGCCTGTTCCCTCTGTCCCTCTCTGCTATTCCTTTTTCCAGCTTCCTTTTCCTTCCTTAAGAAGAAGGCAGAAAGGGTGCACCCCCAGAGAGCACTCTGGGTAATTAAAAAGAGGGCATGATCAAAGAGGTTAGAAGGTTGTGAACTCCGTGATCCTGAGGCACGTGGCCTATTCCCTGCAGTATACTCATAACAGAACGGTATGCCTTGTAAAGACTAGTGTTTCGACAGGTTGAAAGTGAGGTTTGGTCAAGACAGCCTACTGAATGCTACAATTAACATACTAACAATAGGGCTGTTTTTGTTTTCGTTTTTTTTTTTGGCAGCCAATCAATAAGCAGTAAAGTAGTGTTGAGTTGGCAATGTCATGCTGAAGTTACAAAAACCTATGAGCCTACCTTGGTTGCGATTTGCAACACCGAGAGATGAAGCATTTGCTCGATCTGTGTGAAAATGGAAAGGGTATTTGTTACATCAGTTGTCAAATATCTCAGCCTTTTATGTATTTAAAGTGAGGGAGTAGCATGCATAGTCCATTTTTTATAACTGTATTCTATATCTCATCTTATTTAGATCAGAGTTCTTTGAAAGCCATTGCAGGACATTCAGGGACATAAATTAGTTAATGCATAGACAAAGTAGCGCGCATGCAGACCAAGTGTATTTTTCACAACAGAAAGATAGGGAAGTTTATGCATGGAAGTGCCTGTTGTTATTCAGCGCATGGAGTCACCTTCAGGCATCAACATGCGGAGGGATGCGCGGCTGGAGCCACGTCTTCATAAAGAATGGGTTTTTCTTCCCTTTCGCTTTGGGCACATCTTTTTGTGTCTTTGTGTGTGGTTGAGCAAATATTCAGGAGCGTAAAGCAGAGATATTTCTTTGTTGTGCTAATATATTGGGTAAATTTGCAGGGTTCTTACAACATCAAATAAAATAAATTGTAAGCATGAACATTTTATTTTAGAACACTATGTGAAAGTACTTCTCATTTAATAAAATATAGGGTAAACGTGACATGCAACTTGCAGTGCCTTCTAAAAGTATCCAAACCTCTTTAATTTGCATTTGTACAACAATATTTTATTGGGTTTAAAGCAACACATATTTCAGTTTTGACTCAAGTGCTAGCTTAATTTGAGATGACAATTGTGCATATTAAATGCTGGGAGCATATTGATGCGCCATGAGGGAAAGACTTTTCAAAAACTCCCATATGTAACTAAAGCGAGTGAAATCCATCAGTATATAAGCCATGTGACCTTAAGCACCGATTTACGGCTTCCCCTTTAAAAGGAGAGCTAACCATAAATAGTTGCTGTTAAGCAACAAAACAGATATGACAAATACCTTATCAGACATATTTTTGGTTCACAGATGTGGGAGTTAATCTAGAGGGGTAAATGTGACCTTTCCTTTACAAGTAACTTCCTCACTTCTCAATCTGTTGGTCAAAAGTGGTTTGCTGTCAGGTTGCACAACATATGGGAGACCATTTAGATTTACCACAGTGCTGTGTTGCTAATTGCTTCCAGAAAGTTGCATGTCAAGCACCCCTAGTGGCTTAAAGTTACAGTGTTGCTTTAAAACAATAGACCAAGTCAAACTAGTATCTGAAAAATGTGACACGGCCCCACTGAGTGCTGAGCTTTTATTTGCATCAGCTTTTTAGATTGCCCAAAGCTATTACTTCGAATTGGATTTGGGCTGCATCATTTCAAAACATAAAAAGGCATATAAACCATTTCATCTAACAAACATATGTTTGGCGCTGTGTTCAGTTAATGTCCTGCTGAACATTAAATCTTCTATGTGGTCTTTTTTTTAAACAATTAATTGGTTAGTCTACCAGAATGCTCCATTTGTCTCCCCAATAACTCTGACTACCTTAACCGACTCTTCTCAAAAAAAAAAAAAAATCTCCATATAATGATGTTGCTGCCAATAATGTAGCGGTAGTGGAACATTCAGAGAGTCGGCTTGAACTTTCATCATCTTAACATTTTCCATGTTGGTTGCAAAGTTCCTCTTTGGTCTTGACTGGCCGGAGCACTTTTTTACACTTTTTATAACGTCTTGGAATGCACACCCAAAAGTTGTGCTGTTAAAAACCATAAAAAATTGCATTCTGTTATAAAATTGTTTAATAGTGCCAATGATACTACTTTGTAATCATACTTGATACTACTTTTGTCTAACACATACATTCTGGATGCCATACATTTTAACCTTTAGATGAAACAAAAAAAATCTTTTATTTAAGTGAACAGCTATAAACACTTGTTTGATGCACTAAAACCCTCTTTTGTTAATTTGTACAGCAAAAAAAACTATGAAAATCCATAAAGATTTCTAATGTCATCATTTACATGCTATTTTTTAAGCTTAATAACATTTCAGGTATTTAACTATGTAATTGTTTTGTGTTCATCCTAAAGAGTGCGCAGGTGAAAATTATGTTAAGCATAAAAGTAGGTGTGTTTGCAGGAATGTTGCATATGTTTTTATTGCTTTGCAATACAAGTTCGGCATCATTTGTGAAAATTTTGGAAATAAGGAAACTCTCTTTTTATCCTATTTGTTACTTATCTCAAAATTGTCAAGACTTATAATAGTGTGCTCTAATTGAAATGCACAAAGATGTGTAGTTTTTTCTTTATGCATTGGTCCACTTTGATGACCAAGAATACAAAATTACTGTTCTACATGTACACCCAGTCTAAATGAGTGTTATTCAGTGAAAGACATGCTGATCACTGCTTTATATGTACCACAGTCTCTCACACCAACATCATCAGTCGAACAAGAGTTAGTCATGGCTGGGGGAGGAAACCCATTAGTCAGCATGCCAATTAAAAAGCTTAAACAACTTACGCACTGTTCCATGATTGCTGGGAATGCCTGTGGAAAAAGAAGAGGGGGGAAATGTTTCAATCAAGTGTCAGCTTGTTTCACTTTGATACATGAGTCACACAGTTGAAAGAGAACCAGTTGGATGTTTTTTTTTCTTTTTACCTTGAAAAGCCCAATGTCAGAACAGTTATTAGTTTGTCCATAGTTTGTGAATCTTGTCCAAACTTTTACTTTTTACTAATTATAATAAGTGTTTGGCCAGAGACAACATGTCAAAGAATTAAAATGCTTAATACTAAACATACATTTTTTCTCCTATTCATAATTAAAGGGTGAGGTATTTCGTCTAAGCTGGATCTTGCTCTGCTCTCCCTGCAGCAACCGTTTTCCCATATGTATTATCAATATCTGGCTGTGGTTCTATTATCTTTGTACTGAATAATCGCCATCAGTGAAGGGTTCTGATGTCCACAATTAGTTTAATCCCTGACCTTTTTTCCCCTGTCTTCTATGATTATGTTCAGGAGTTTCTCAACTGCTGGAAGCAGAAAACCAGCACAGAGGCTAGAAATGTTTAGAATTTAAGTTTTAGTTTACCAGTTATTAAGTGAGGCCAAACAATAAAACACTTGTTCTATGTCAGGAATGGAGGGCATACAACCTTGCCCTTTGGAGGCATTCTACAATTTGATCAAACTCCCTCAAACACCTCTTAACCTCTGTACCTGCTCGGCGGCAAAACGAGATAAAACTGCTGGCAAAGTGGACTGTCGAAAAAAAAATGGTGTAGTGAGTTTTCTTCTACAACAGCAATATTCTCTTTGAGAAGAAAAGTTATAGTTAAATTAATACCAACATGATGTATGATATGTTGGGGTTCAAGCACACAGATGCAGACAGTTAAAGGAACAGGGAAGCATTGATCCATAAATAATTTCTATGTTACAAAAAGTAAAGGTACACAAGCTCTACAGGTAGCTCTATGTAGGATGCTCAGATTTCAACGAGCAGTTTGCATGTCAACCGGACAAAAAGAGAGCACATAAAGTTAGTCACAGTAAAAGCTGAGCCTATAGCTATGTCAAGGTGAGACAGGAAAAACAATAAAAAACAGGCCCAATAGGTCAACTGAGTAAGTCTCAGCTGTTTTGCAGAGATGAATGGAGAAAGACTTAAACCTTTAAATGTGCAAAGTAGCTATCTTAAATACAGGTGTGACTCTAGCAAAGAATGGTTCTACAAAGTGTTCTCTTTGTGGTGGTGATAAAGGATTGTTTAAAAACATGGATGTGTGCTGATTAAAATTGAAAGGCTTTGTGGAACGTTCACACCAAAGGCATTTTGGGCATCAAAAACACTTAAATTTAGACACTTGGTCACCTACACTGGTCTGCATGCTTTGACGTTGTGGATGCTCTGCACTCTAGCCGCTCTGTTCTTTCGCTACAACCTAGAGAGCAGCTTGGCTTTATTCACTTAAAAGAGATTGAAAAATAGTTTTAACACATTTTTAAGTGAAATAGTTCACCTCAAAACATCATCTGTGCAGGCAGATCATCAGGATTATCATCCTACAAAAATATTCAGTTCTTGTTCAGCGTGCTAGATCCTTCGGATATAGGGGTGCAACAGCGTTGGGCGTCCCCCAGTGAAAGCTCTCTGAAGCTGAGCAGGCTGTTGGGGATTACCCGCTACATTCGGAGTGGCTGGAAGTAAATAAGAAGTGTTTTTAAGGTTTGTGGTAAAACCTGCAAGTACCAGAATATACAATTGAATATTTTTCACCGACAGATTTTAACATTTTTAGTTTAATGATAAACTGTTTCGCTATAGTTGATAAAAAATATTTTAGTGCACTTAGGATTATCCGAACTCGCCCTGTGTCAAGTTCAACCCCTTTGTATTTATTTATTTTTGATATGCACACAGCAGCGATCATGGCTTGCAGTGATCGCTTGCTAGTTTCTGTTTCCCCAAAAACTCCTGGATTAGCTTTTATGATTTGTTGATGATATGCGTCAAGCTGAAAAGGTTCTGATTTATGAACTCCAGCTTTGAAAGCTCAGAGGCTGGGACGCTAGGATGCTCTGACACTAATAACAATAAGATGGGCCGCTCTAGATGATCAGCCGCAGTGCAGGACCTCTTGACACTGCTTGACGCGGTCCTCGAACACTTTGCATGTAAATCGGATGCTTTGATGCCCAGAATGCATTTGTGGGTAAACGTACCTTTAACCTTTCTGATTTTATTGTGTAAAAAAATTAAATAAAACAATCAAAACCTCCTTATGAATTTTTTTCCTGATATATATCGTGTTCATTCCAATTTGTACCTATTCTTCTTCCTTGCATGGACTAGAAAATTTTTAATGCATTAAATTAATAAATGTTTCAGTTTTGAGCACCTGATTACTGATCAGAGTTAATCAAGGAAGATTTGGGCTAATTCCAATCTCTAACTAATCAAACTATGTTAGTCATAATCTTTTTAAAGCCTTACAAATAAATGCCCTCAACCTGGGCTTTAATCATGGAGTATATGGATGGCGTCATCATATTTATGATTTAGCAAGTAAATTGAAAAATAAATGTATTTCATAAGTTCAAAACCTAGCACGGGGAATTTAGACATACATCATATGTTTAAGGCATAACTTAAAATGAAACTTTTTTTGTTTTACTTTTTAGTACATTGCAGAACCACTTAATATTTAATTCCAGTCTTTCTTAGTCACTTCCTGTTCCTGAACATTACGTTCTTAATACAGAACAAGACTCCTTTTTTTCTAAAAGCTCAGCTTCATTTTATACCAGGTCTCCATGCACTAGGATATAAATATGTAATAGACCCTACCCAGAGATTAATGATTGTCATGATAAAAGAGGAAGACTTGCTGACAGATGAAACCTATTAAACCATAATTACACGTTGCATGTTCAACAGATTTGTCCTCACAGAGACTCTTTACATTTAATATCTTTATAAGAAGCAATTCATGTAATAGATATGGGCATGTTAAGGGTCTACATCTGTACTCAAGAGAAAAATAAGCATAATTCAAGACAAAATGTGCACATTCAACACCTGGGGGAGCAATATTGTTGCGTCACTTCCATAATATTGCATTTCATGCCACAGCCAAACAAGCGCTAATATTGCTTTTGATATGGCAAGACCTTAGTTTCATCAGTTCAGGGCAGATGCGTCCTGGTGGTGGATTTTTTAATAATCGCCTGTCAATCTGACGTTGGGCCTCACATTGCAGGAAAGCACATAAGACTGAGGTTGTATGGGGGTAAATCCAGCAATATCTCCTTAGAGTTCACAGAGTTTCTAATAAACAGACTCCCACATGCAGTCAGATATAAGTGCATATTCATAACAACACTTAAATACCAGTGCACAAACATGCAGATGATTCATGAAACACATATTCATACAAATCACTAGATAATTATCTAATTAATCAACAGCAGATTTGAAAACAATAATAGGAAAAGCGGGGTTACAGCAAGGGATCAATAGTAATATAAAATACCCTTCAAATCTAATCAGAATTCAAGTCAGATAGTCAAAATTAGCAACTGGAGAACCTGCAATAAATCTATGAGGACTGCTGCTGTGAGGTTTTCAGACTTCAAGGCTGTAAAAAGGCGAAATCAGGGACTATCCGGCTAGATTTTCAACCATCTGGCCACGCCTGGCCATCTACCTCCGCAACCCTGCAAAGCTGTGTTAGATTTATCGAGGCAATGAGCCTCCCTACCCCCTGGCATAGGATTTGATAAATGTGACTCAACTCCTGTCTAACATCATAATGGAGATAATGCTAAAGAGCACTTTCTGCCTCTGAGATGCCTTGCAATATTGTATTCTGAAGTTTGACCTTTTTATTGTAATGATTAAATAAACAGTTGACCAAAGTTCGAAAAGGCAAATCAAATTTGTACAATGCTATTACGATTTAATAAAAAGGATAGGAAGTAATTCTATTAAGAGGTGAATATTCAGATATTTACCGGCCTAGTAAAACTCTTCCTCATCTTATTGACCTTAGCAATACAGAGGGAAACCATATAGTTTTAAAAGGAATAGTGGAACCAATTTTAACTACTCGGTTTCTGCCACTTAACCACTGTTGGCTAGATCAATAGAGATAAAATATCTGCCTTAACCCAGATGATTTGGCAGATATTTATATGTGCCAGATATATACAGTATATCACAGGTTGTTTAAATAAATACAAGCCTTATTGCGTACAAACTCTCAAATTACTGACATTAAAGATTCTCAAAGATTCTTAAACCATTTCTCCCATTAATCTGGCAAGAATAGTATAGGTTGATTAGCTAACAAACACTTTAAAATCAGTCATAAGTTGTTTTGTTACCAGCCTAAAACTTCATGGTTTTTAAAACTAACTGCTGTAAAGGTTTCTTGTATCATGTGGCTTGGGATGTCTTTCACTGCATTGCATTATCATATGAAATTATATATTGATATTTTATGTGTAAGATAAGTCGATGTCCAAAATTTGTAAAAGACAGCTTTGATTTTCTACTTACATATATTTGCGGTTCCTTTGGGTATTGGGAGATAGGAGCCCACACTCCAGGCTCTTCCGTGATAGTGCCTCTTGCAGCGACTGCAGTCTGGCCCTGTGGTGTTGTGTTCACACTCACAGCCCAGCTTCCCCTTGTCAAACACACAGCTGTTGGCATGCAGGTTGCACTTGCATCTAAGACAAAGGGAAAGCAATAAAAGACAAAGGCTTGAATAGGCTTTGAGCTGCATTCACACAATCAATACCTTCTACAGGGAATATACAGTCAGCCCTCACGGCAATTTTTATTTATGCCTTTCAGAAATTGGGTAAATTGAAATCCTCATGGGTTATCTGAGATAAATCATGCCTTCTCAAAGCTTCATTATACTCTGTTTAAAAAAAGAAAACGAGGCATAATCTGTTGGCACCCCTGTGGAGGGAACCGTATTATGAATAAGGTCACTTTTTTGAGGGCGGAATGAAAGACACTCTGTAAGATTCAATAACTTAACTTAAAAAGGGGCCTGTTAGAAAGATAACAATAAAAATGCTGTGTATACTGGGAGTTTTTGTTTCTGTGTCTTTAAAGTAGTGTTGTTTATGAAAGCCAGCCTTTGCTTTAAAACTCTGATGGCAAAGCTAGTTTATAGACTGAATCGTAACATAGCTGACAGATGCTTTTGACAGCAGAAGAGAGAAGGCCTGACGGTTTTCTACATCGCTTTTGGCCAGGTTTTGAGAAAAAAAAAAAGGTTAGCTGGTGCTTTATTTTGAAAGACCTCAACCATCAGTAGGTGCAAAGAGTAAATTCCATTTGTTCAAAATATAACTTTTCTTCAGTGTTTTCATTCCCACTGTAAAGATCTAGGAGATGGAAAGAATTGTATGCTTGTTGTAATAAGAAATATTACAGTTTATATTTTAGAGATATAGAGAGATTTTAGAGATTATAGTTTTCTGGATTTGGTGTAACTCCCAGTTGGGTAACAAGTTACAACTAGTGACCTCAGCTTCTTGTGAGGTGAAAGGAGAGGGAATCAGATGGGAGGAGAGCATGAAGTGGATCTGACACTGTAGACCTCCCAGAAGGTTTAGGGAGCTTGTAGTTTTGCATTGAGTCTATGTTTGTTTTTACAAACTGCTTCCGAGGGAAAACTCTTCCTGTTTGAACCCATGAAGGTTTTTTTTTTTGCGTCAACTGCAAGTGAACATGAGACAGAGTAACGACAGAAAATATCCATTCTAATTGAATTCCTGGCCTTGCTTTGACATCCAGATGTATTAATGGATAACAGGGATGAGGCAGTACATAATTCATCTCTGCTACAGGTAACAGCAAAACAAAGGAAGTTTAAAATGCTCTCTCTTACTTACTATAGGCCTGCATTGTCAGTGATTAAATAAATTACTGGGCTTTATTAACCGAGGCTGTTATCACCTTAACATTCTAATTATTCTGGAAATATCTTCTAGCTAGAGCTAACCAGAGTACTATGCCATACTTAGGCAGGACCCGTGGTGTTGAGGGTTGCAAAAGAATTTAATTAGCTGAAATTCTTTTAAACGTAAAGGGATGTTACCTATAAGTGATGTTAGGTATGTCCTTTATCATATTACATGTAAACAAGTGTCTATGATAAATTCCGATATTATTCTTGATGTAATGTTTAATTCAATAAGCCTTCCTTGGCTGTAGGCATCATGATATGACACAGAATTATTCATTCATGGCCAAAACAGAAGATCGTCAATCAACAAATGCTTTTAAATATCTAAATTTCAATAAAAAAGGGGGCCTGTGGCAGATATTTCATTGGAGTTCACCTTTTTCTTTTGAAAAAGATTTTGATCTACAGTATTCTTATTTACAAAAGCACTATGACACGCCTACTTTTTTGATGTCTTAAATTACTTAAACCAACATTATAACATTTAAAATAGAACATAAACATTTTAATCCAGAGGTATTCAGTTTGAGATGGAAAATAAAAGACATTTATTTTAGATTTAAAATGTTAGGTAAGATATAAGATATTTCTTTAAGCCCATTTTTTGTTTTACCCAAAATCTTTGCTAAACAGACTTTAAATAAAACTTGGCAAAAACAGGTTTTTAAAATAGTTTTAGTTTTTGAAAAACAACAAAATGGAAAATATTTAAACCAAAATGGACAGACACTGGACATATATTTTTAAACATCCAAGATCCAGCCTTACAATATGTGGTTATTTTAATCATTTATGACAAACTTTGAATAAAGTAATGCCTTCAGTTTATTGCAGAGCAGATGAATTATTATTTTTTTGATCTTTAAAAAAAAAGAAGCGCCTTAGTCCATTTAGCTTGATGATAGCCTTTTCTTCAAAAGGTTTGAACAATCAGGTCTAAATATGTTTCTATGTGCAGTAGAGCAGATCAAAACTGGGATTTTTTTCTCTCCTTTGATTTAATAAAACACAAGTGTGTGTAGAGCACCGTAATGTTTTATTTTATTTTACTTTTGCCAGTGAGATGGACTAAAAGGTGCATGATAATTCTTATTACTACCTCTATCTTCAAGGGTTCAAACCTCATATTTCTTTTACAGCCCGTCTCAAACTGCCAGTAGAACTTGCCATGCTAATGGACGGACCAGAGTTAGTTTACGTCATTTGTACAGTGACCACTGTAGATCACTAGCAGATAAACAACAATTATGTAAATACTGAAAAAAGATTGTATGTTCAATTTAGTGCCTCTTATTTAGACTCTTTGAAGATTAAGCCCTAAAAGTATTGTTCTATTTGAAAACAAGCAAATAGGCACTAAATGACTTATCACAGATATCACATGTATCATATTATTTTCTTATTTTAGATTTTTATCTTTCATGAATCAAATGATGAAGCATTATTATTGATTGAAGCTGCTCAGTGGTGCAGTGGGTGGCACTGCTGACTTGCAGCAAGAAGGTTCTGGATTTGATTCCTGGCCCGGCGTCTTTCTGCATGGAGTTTGCATGTTCTCATGAGCATACGTGGGTTCTCTCTTCCTCCCACAGTCAAAAAACATGACTGTTAGGTTAATTGGCTTCTCTAGATTCTCCTTGGGTGTGAGTGTGTGTGTGTGAATGGTTGTTTGTCCTGTGTGTCTGTTGCCCTGCGATGAACTGGCGACCTCTCCAGGGCATACCCTGCCAATTGACTGCTGGAGATATTCCCCAGCACCCCTTGGGACAAGTGTGTCAGAATGGATGGATGAAAAAGTAAGAAGAAAATATGAAGTGGAAGAAAAATAAAATATGTCTCAACTATTTTGGAAATCAAAATCTGAGATTGTTTACAGTCCCCAAAAGTCAAGTCTTTGTCCAATTCCCCTTTTCTTAAGCTAAGATATATTTCTTAGGGGCACACAAGCTGGTGACAAAAAAAAAAAAAAAAGCCAAATATTTTTTCAGCAAGAAGAAATATAGGTTTCTTCTTGCTGAAAATGAGTTTTCCTCTCCACTATCGCTCTAAGCATGTTTGGCATGAGGGATTGCTCTTGAGTCAATACAATCTGCTGGTTTTCTTTAAATAGAAAACTTTTTACAGAAATTTTTTCTGTAAAGTGCCCTGAGATGGCATGTGTTGTGAATTGTTGCTATATAAATAAACTGAATTGAACTGAATTGTTTCCCTGTATGTTTAGGGCCATTGTCCTAATAGTTGACCCAATCCTCTTTTGCTACTTTTAAAAAAATTGTTCTCCATAATTATCCTGGATTTAGATTCATCAATCTTAAAATCAGCCCTGACCAGCTTCCTTTTCTCTTTTAAGAACACCACCACCTAAGCATGATGTTCCCTCCAACATCTTTAACTGTGGACATGTTGTTTTCTGTCACATACAGTCTTTTCTCTGCAGAATAAAACAATGCCATTGTTTTCTATCAAAATTAGCTAGCTTCTTTCCAATCTCTCATTAAATCAAGGTGTAGGACTTAAAATTGTCCTGACAAGCCCCTCCAGAGGTCATCACAGTCCTATTGGCTCCTTGACTAGTCTGTTAGTTCAGGCTGACAGCCATGTTTTGGTAGATTTACTGTTGTGCCAAACTCCTTTAATGGATGATGGATTGAACAGCGTACGGTCAGACAACCTGCTGACTCTGCTTTATATTTCCCTGACCTGGGTGTTCTTCTCATTTTGTCTTTATAAAACTTGTTGTTCAGTAATGCTCTAAGGGTTAAATTATTGGGGTATTAGAGTTAAAGGTTTGAGTTGTGAAAGTTTCCCAAATATAAGGAACTTCAGTGATCACACTGAAATAGTTAAATATTTGATGATAAAAAACAACAACAAAAAACATTTTTTTAAACAGTATTTAAGTCCTAAATTATATACATTGCAAGTAAAAATGGATAACATTTATAAGCAGTCCAGATCCTCACACCAACAAAACACTCTTTCACCTCAAATTTCCCCATTGTCCCTAACTTTTTAATCAATTAAAGTCCTCGCTCTATAAAATTAATGACTGGGTGTAGCTCCTCTGCCATGCAGACAGCAGTGACTCCCTGAAGTCAAGAGCAATGAGATTTGACCTTCCACTTAATTAAAAACCAGCAAAATCTGGATCATCAGCCCCAACCGGCATGGCAAGCAGGCTGATAGAGGAGAGGATGTGGACTCAGGAGAGCTCTGGGATGCAATGCTTTTGCCGCCGGCATTGTCATATTGAAATCGAAGAACTTTTCGGTAGCTTTGGATATTGGTCACAGGAGGGGAGAAACAGAGAGAGGAAAAAAGGTAGCTCCTGCCAATTCTAGCTTACCTAGACCTTTATTTGAAGATTAGCTGTTAAAAAAAAAAAATAATGAGATTGTAACTACACTGAAGGCATAATCTTTATTTTTCTTTACGATACAGACTGCAGAGATCATTTAAGCCCTTGTGAAACTGCAATTTAATTAAAGTCTAGACACATGTTGTGTTCTGCAAATAAGGGTGGTTATGCAGTAAGTTAGCTTAGGTTATGGAGCAAAGTGTATCTTTTGTACAACAAAAATGTTTGTGATGTTTGAGTGATTCTTTTTTTTTTTTTTAGAGTTTTTACGGCATTAGTGGCTCGTTTTTCCGACAGTAGGCTGACAGGAAAGGGGGCATATGAAAGAGGATACAGTTTAAGTGATTCTAGACAAAAGCAAACCGGCCAAAATTAAATTATTTTTT